AGTCATCGATACATGCTGGGATGTTTGACTTGCCGGTTTAAGCTTCGAGACTGCCCTGGCAGAGGTGGACCAGGCCACTGTTGACGATGTTCGGGAGATTGCCTCTGCTGTGCACAGAGGCCCGACCGCAAACTGCACTCTTTTCTGGCATCTGCAACCTCTTTCCACTGCAGGTGCATCCCCATGTTGCAGGCAGCCACGATGCAGCTAGTGTACTCTTTTCCTTGTCTCAAACCCTAGGAACTTGAGCCTCGAACTTTCTGAAGCATGTCCCACAGTAGGTCGAACATATGTCAAGCAAAGGTCAGGCACAGCTCCCCACAGAGGCCAGAGCCTTCAAGCACAGCTCGCCGCAGAGGTGCATCTCCAAGGGAGCTCGGGGAGCTGTTCTTGAGCCGAGGACGGGAATCCATCTTTTTCGCTGAACATGCAATCGGTGCCTTCGCCAGTATCTGCAAGATGTTGTGCTGTTCGTACAGTACAGCGATGTCGGCACGGTTAAAATTTTGCCGCGATTTTGCTGGATTGTCGGTGGGGCAGGGTTGAGACCCGAGTCATCAAGATTCAAGAGTACCATGACCTTTATCTCAGAACTCAGGCCCGTGCCCAAACCAGCCCAAGGGCTTTGTGGCTGACAGCACGGAAGGGCTTCTTAAGCAGCCCGTAGACAGAAATAGACAACCGAAAGATAGGTCGATACCAAAACTCATGAAGAGATGCATGCTTGAATGCCTGCTTGCCCGCCCGCCTGCCTGTCTACTTGCTTGTTTGCCGAACTGCCTGCGTGTCTCCGTCACCTTCCGGACTCCCTGCGCCCGAGCCCGCGCAGTCCACGGGCGAGCCGGCGGCCGGCCGGAGGAGGCTTCCGTTTGAGATTGTTTTTCATCTCTGCAAGAAGATTGTCTGGGATGTTTTGGAAGCATGAACTTTCGTCTCTGAAAGCTGTATCTACATCAGCACTGCCAATTCCTTTGGACCATAAGGATCCATGCTCGGGTTGACAGGCTTCAGGGCAATCCGCTCAATGTGAAAAGCATGCCACACTTCTGCTGCAGGCTTTCTTGGGCTGGGAATCAGTGCGCAGTGTTAGTGCCTATCCCCTTGCTTGACCAGCATGACCGGAGCTGTTTGGCAAGGGTATGAGAGAGACTGACATCGTTTCGGCAAGTGACCGTATCTTGAGAGAGCTGGAAGTTTGCCAGATCTTGCTGGGAGGTCGTGGACCCTGAGGGCTTCTACTCCAGCATTGCCAGTCTACTCGGCGATGGCCTTAATTGGGGAAACAGGTTCTCAAACAGCAGCGCGGCTCTGCCAAGACCGTTCTGCCTTTCGTAAAACCGATTGACAACTCAAGAGGGTCCAGAATCAATCCAAAGAATCAGATGTCTCCACCATGTTTTCCTCAAAACCAGGTGCCCGTAGCATGAGTTTCCCATTCATTCTCCCAGGGCTCACCTGCCTGGCAGAGAGTGGCGGAAGCGGCGTGACGCAGCCGCTGGTGCCACTCTCTTTTTGCTTGATGGGGTGGTTTGTGTGTCACAGTGGGGAGGATCAGGGGTTGGAGGACGAAGCAGTCTTGAAGCGCTTCCCACAGTCATGAGTAGTTTGCCAAGCATGTCGCAACCACCTGCCCCAACCGCCTGCCTGCACTGCACAGCGCGGAGCGCTGCTCCTTCACCGGGGCCTGGAAAAACTCCGGAGCCATGCCCTCAGACATTCTCTGGAACCCGTAAAAAACTGCTTATGTGTCAAAGATCGGAGAAGCAACCTCACTTTGCAGGTCCTCGGAACAGATAAGTATACCCATGAGCCTATGAATCGGAACACTGCTCCACTGAAGCGGCCGCTTTCCCCTTGGAGATATCTCGAAGCGGCTTCCGGCTTGGGCCCCGACCTAGGCCACCGAGTCCGTGCGAGCGCCGCCGCCAGCTGAGCCGCCGAGAAAACACCGCTTCTTCCGGGGAAACCGCTAGTTTAAGGATGAGAAACCAAAGTGACGCTGCCATGATCTTCTGGCCTAGGCCCATTTGCAAGTGGCCACTGCGGCGGTAGCCGCTCATGGTGCCCGAGACTGAGTGCGTCCAAAGCTCTCGAAGAAGCTTGCAAGTCTTGCAGCGGACCCAGTCCTCAGCTTGAGTGACGGTGCACGGACCGGCAGGAGGGGAGATTTGAGCTGCGAGTATTCGAGAACTCTCCGGGCAAGGTTTGCTCCCGTCTGGATCCCTTCAGTGACGGCTGCCTTTATGAGGCACTCCTGGAGGCCCTACCTCGGGAAGGGTTCGAGGTTCTTGGGCTTAGGTCGACTGTGGCTTGTGTTGAGCAGCAAATACTTCGACTTCGATTTTTGCGGGGGCAGCCTTGGGGCTCCAAGCGCTGCGCTGATTGGCAGGTGGAGGGCGGCAAGTTCTGAGTATCGAAGATTCGACTGCTCTGAGCGTTCCATGGGAGCTTTGGGCAGCCAGAGCTCCCGAAGGCGCGAACTCGCGCATATTTTCAACAGATATCTGGGGATGGAAACGACATGTTCAGGTTACCGAGAGTCCTAAAAAAGAGAAGGAACGATCCTTTGTGTGCAATCCTTTTGCCTGGGGTTCGACCCTGCCAAGAAGTTGAGGAAAGGCTGTTTGTTTGATCTACCAGCTCTCATTGCACACCCGTTTCAAGCCGGTGTGTGTGGGCTGTGTGCTTCCATCACTGGATTTCGTCAGCTTAGCTGCTCAGTCCGGATCCCAAGCCACTATGCACTCCGAGTCATGAGCCAGTGAGCCTTCAGAGCCTGGAGTGGATGGCCCACGAATGAGAGCATGATAGGCAGAACAAGGACGGCATGGCATGCCAAGTGGCTTGCGACTCGCACATCAACTCGCGGCGGCGAGTGGTGAAGAGAGGAGTGCTGTCAGCCATAACTTCGAAGTCGCAGGCGCTTAGGAACTCTTCAGCATGTCAGCAGGGTTGCGTCTAGCACGGTTAGAGACGGTTCCAATCGAAGGCTTCAAATTCAAAAGTTTGTGAAGCTTTGAAATGCTGTGCCAATAAGTAGGACGAGCAAGTCTGGAGAGCGTGTACGGTGTTCAATGCAGGGGGCGCATGGTCTACGTTGGTCAGCCCGTCACATCAAGGGCAAGTTGTAGACTATTTCGACTGCCTCCTCACCTGGATGCCACACACCTGCTCGAGACCATCTCTGCGCGCAAGAAAAGCGTCAGCTTCGAGGATTCGGCTCGTGTAATGTTTTCCAAGCTTGGGCATTAGTTTCCAATTTGCCGTCTCAGAGCTCTGTGGTCGTGGCGGTGACTTCGGGGTCTTCATCAGCGCTTGTTCCGAGGATCATGCACATGGTTTTGGAATCTCCCACGCGATTCCAAAACCACGCAGGCCGATCCCGCCGCCGACGAGCTGGTTAGGCCTAGGGGCCTAGGGTTTCGGGCTCGGTTTTGAACTTCGCGCGACGTTGCCATAGCCACCCTCGGCTCCGGCTAATGGCTGAGACGTTGGTTGCGGGGTGCTGTGACGAGCTCCTCCACCCTGCTCGCAGGCGGATAGACAGAGAGGACCGAGACGTCCCCAAAGCGGCAGTCAGGGCCTTCTCGCTTTCCCCTTCTCAATGTGCAAGAAGTTCGCTGCGACTGGTCACGGCCAGATGTACACATCTCGTCTTCACGACGCCCTGTAAAGTATCAATCGCAAAATTCGAGGCCTCACCAGCGCCTAAGACGCCACCGAAGGCGTGCACGGTCATGCAGGTTCAAGATGTACCAGGCTTGAGGTTCCACCTATGAAGCAGCCGAAGTAAATATCATCCGACTGTCGAGAGCATCCGCGTTCGAGTAGACGAGAAGCCTGTCAGCTGCTGCGAAGTCGAAGCCGGAAGATGGCGGGTTTCCGGCATTTTCACAGTGATTCATCGATGTCCAGGCACCGCCGAAGAAGGTGCCGCCTCCGCCGTCGAAGCCACCGCCAAAGGAGATCTTGCAGGTGGGGCTTTGACGTGCCTCCATTGTTTTAATTTTATATTTGATGCTCTCATGCAACTGTTGATCGCAGGGTGCCGAGGGCGCTCCCAGGCGCGGGGAAGCTGCCAGGGCTTGCAGCGAGGTTCAGACGTCGGGCCGCCCGTGCACAATTGGTTCAGAGTAGCGTTCCGTTGACATCCGTTGGTTCAGCACCGTGATTGTCGGATGAGAATCACATACACACGAAACCCCACTCCGCTGGCATTCCAACGCCAAATCCCTGAGTATTGCGTTTCGCACGCTCTGCCAGCAAAAGTGATACCAATTTATTTCAGGCTAGGGTGGTGCCATAGCGAGACAAGCAAAGGAGGAACATCCTAGCAATCCTTAACCAGAAAACAGCCAGAGTTGGACAGGCTGCTTCTGTAAGGCCAACGGGTCCTACACACCTGGAAGGGGCTTCTTCAGGTGCCAAAGTTGGAAGGGCCTCAGTATCCACACCTCTGCAGGACGCTGCGAAAGGCAATCGAGGCCGGGAGCACTTGATCGCAGCTTTCCCTTATGTGCCATGGAAACGGCCAAAGCAGATCGGGCAGAGCCTCGCATTTAGAGCTCTTCCACTGGTTTGTCGCATGCGTCACCAAACTGTTGAACTGCCATTGTATTGCAGAGTCATGCAGAATCCTCTTGCCGCTGCTGCGCCAGCAGGAAGCTTCGAAACGACGGCCGCCTGTCCCAACCTCAGAGCATTTTGAGTCCCGTAACTGCTTGGACCAACTAGGACTTTGTCTGGTGCTTGAAATAAACCTGGCAGAGTGCCAGTTTTCGGAGAAGGCGCCACATGCAGCACGCAAGCAAGTCGCACTGGAACTGAAGAGAGAGCCAGAGCTCCCTCTTGAAAGGGGGCTTCTACATGGCAGGAGCCCAAGCAGGCCCCGCCGAAGCAGGCGCCGCAGAAGCTTTGGCCCACAGAAAAGGCACCTGTCGGCGAGCTTGAGAAGACTGTTGAACTCAATTGGATTGTTGGCTCTTTTTTTAGGGCCTGCGCCCTTCTTTCCATCACAGGCGCATCCTCCGGCGAAGGCGCCCGCACCCGAAGCTGCGCGGGGCTCCACGCCGCCACCTCCACCGCCCCAAGGGCCACCACCCGGCACCGCCCCGCCGAAGGCACGGCCAGCAAGCGCGAGCAGATCGGGAGCAAAGGCTCCGTCGACACCGCCCCCGGCACCACCGGCACCTGCCCCACAGCCACCAAAGCCAAAGCCAAGCGCGCCAAGCCAGCCGGAGCCTCGGATTCGTGCCGTAGTGATTCGTTTACATCACCTCGGCAATCAAAAGTAGAACCAGAATCAACAAGTTGAGCAATCCCATTAATATTCTTGTAATCGTGACGACGACAGTCTCAATGATCCACTTCTACTGCAGGAAATAGTCCGAAGTTGATTCCACCCGCTGGGACAATCGCTTGAACCACCTGACGAAAGGGGGGTCGGCGGCAAGACAGAGCTATACGTTCGATGGCATGGTTCGGCATGATGCGTACATGCAGACATCCCACGCTATCGCATGGAGAGCTCTGGACAAGTGAGCAAAAAGTTGCACGCCTTGCAACCGATCAGTTGCCGGGCTGTGGTAGCACAGCAAATTCCCAACACATCAGAAAGGCACAGGTCTTGCGGAAGGGGAGGAAAGCAATGCGTGAGAGTCAGTCAACTTCGCTCAAACACTTTTCTTGGCCTCTCGCGCAGAGCAGGCCGCCACCCCAACATATCCCAACGGCAAACTGCCATTGACAAACCGCACCTGGAGATCTCCGAGGTCTACAGGGGCAACTCATCAAGCTGAGCAGTATGGGGCTTCTGATCTAGGGCAGCTTCATGAGCAGGGAACTCGTGCGAACCGTCGGCTGGCAAAACGCCGGCTTTTGGAAACGGAACTACAATCAAGCTGGAATCGCTCTGCTGCGATTGTGTGTTGATCCTTAATGTGGGTGGTTTCCCGGTTGAGAAGATCTGTCGTCACTGTGTCAGGGTTTACACAACTGAAGCTGACACAACCACTTCGGGAGTCAGCGATCTCTTCTCAATGCACCTTGCTGTGAGGCCGGCAGTGCCGCCGCCACCGCCTGGGCCTCCTCCACCACCGCAGGCCCTCTTTGTGGCACAGTGCTGTAAGCCAGCAAATCAAGTCAAGGCCATCCAACGTCTGAAGGGATGCGTCATACAGGGAGCCTCTGAAGTTCCGAAGTTTGCTCGCACGTTGTCTGCGATGGAGCTCGATGTCGATATGGAGTCATGCCGATGTCGAATTAGCTGACACGCTTGAAAAGGTTTCAGGCAGGCAGAGTCTTGTTGAACTGTGACGCCGCGGTTCATGGTCCTATGACAGTGACAAAGACAGTCTGAGATGCGAACATGCCTCACGGCATAGCAACAGATTTCTCGGCAGGTGATGCCGAAGGCGGAGCTGAGACCCCGGATGCCCAAGCAGGGAAAGCCGCAGCCGCCAAAGACGCCCCCGCCGACGATCCCCAAGGCGGTGACTTTCCCAGCCGCAAAGGCGCCGCCCGCCAAGATGGTTCCCCCGCCTCCCAAAGCCAGCGGTCCCGCCCTCGGTTTTGGAGTAGCAGCGAGACTGTGGCACTGCATATCGGAATGCACATGGTCAGACCCCGTCTGAAAATCATGATGTGCTGAGGTGCGCAAGCGGAAGGCCGAGACAGGAGCCGCAGCCGCGACAGGTCCGCCATGTTGAAGATTCCTTGAAGTTGAGACGGGGCGCTACCTAATTGGCGGGCTTTGGAGACAAACTCGTACCATCTCGTACCTCTTCAATCGTTTGGTCTTTTGGGTTTCGCTTGGATTTTTGGACGCCGCGGCTTTTCCTTGGCCAGACAGAGTGCGTGATATGAGAATGTCTTGGAATCTGCAGTGCTGTGGTCTCGATGTTTTATCCTAGCTGCCTTCGAAGGCAGAACGCGGCGGCGGGCGAGGCGCATGGCGAGGCGCATGGCGAGGCGCCAACTCCTGCTTTTCGGGGGATTTCGGCTTGCACCGGCAGTGCACAGTTCGGCTGCATAGTCGGTGTCGGAGCATGCCCAGGCGGATGGGACCTGGGAGGAGCAGAAGCAATGCAGTCCCGTAGGAACATTGAGCCCGAACAGAGAGTTTGTTGGATCATTGACTGCTGCACAGTCGGTGCCGCTAGTCGACGTCCAGCAGCCGGCATACGGAGCTTATTTCACTCACCATCCAGCTCCAAAGACGATCGACACCACAACGGTTTGGAGGCGCCCGACGACATGGCCGCCTTCCTTCGCGAGCTGGACCCCTCCGGCCAGATGGACTCGTGCCCGTCTGTCAAGTGGTGAAGTTCATCATAAAGGTGATCAAGATTCTATTCTGAAAGAGGATTGTATCGGCAATTTCAGCAGTCCGTCGGTTGGATGCGCTTGAGTGAGTGTGCATGTTCATTGAAGGGCTTAGAGCTGCACCCCATGTAAAATCTTCCGCGCACTCCGAATTTATGAAGGTCTACGAGTCGCGCTGTCATTGTTGCCACAAGCGACTCTTTTGAGCAGGTACGCCCCCCGTCTCCGCACGGAGTTCGGCAGCCGCGCCCAGGCACGCTCTGCACAGCATCGCACAGCAAGACACTGTGGCTGGTAAGCCTATCTTGTCTCGCCATGTGACGAAGTATCCGGAGGATTGATTATGAGAGTGTCTGCACTTTTGCAACCGTGTGTTCGCGATTACACTGGGGGCTCGTCGTTTTGGCTGTTTGTTTGGTTCTGATGATGCTCGGGGTCAACCGGTGATATGTGGTAATTGGCAGTGATGCCAATCGGAGCCGGCCTCAACCCAAGAAGCACAGCACTCCCATGCATTTCCCCCCAACGCCTCAGTTGCGGGCGGCCGTCGTCGACGAGGCCGCCTCCGGCCTCGCCATGGTGGATCCGGCCGTCTTCGAGGCCCATGGCCATAGACCTTTTGCCAGCCCCCAGTGGGTTGTGGAGGGTCTGAGTTTTAGGCCGATTTTGCGCTGGCTTGCGGGATACATGTATGGTTCCAAGGAGTATTGGGATTTGGAACACTGCGATGTCTGTCGGTCAGCATGTCTGTTTTCACTGCATGCATACCTCCTGTTGCTTCTTGTTGCCCTTGCTATCCCGAGCCTGCCAAATTGCGGCAGAAAGCCTTTGCAGGTCAAGGAGGGATCTGGGTCCCTCCAATCTTATCAACTCCTAACCTGAATCTCGCAGAGGTCTGTCTGTCTGTCTGTGTCTGTCTGTCTGTGTCTGTCTGTCTGTGTCTGTCTGTCTGTCTGTGTCTGTCTGTCTGTCTGTGTCTGTGTGTCTGTCTGTCTGT